CATACGAAAGTGTTCCTACATATTCACTTTTCATCAAAGTTGTTCACAATACTTATCCATCCACAGAGTTTGTGATGTAGTCAAATCTATACAAATACAAGTGCAGTTGTTTAAAGGGTCATTTTTTAGTTAATGATGTCAGAATTTTGGTATTTTGGAATGGATTTGTGAATGGTCTTTTCCAGAAAAATTACGTTATGTCCTTGCATGTGTAAACAGCGCTTTTTTGAATATACCGGTAAAGTCGTTTCAGATATTTTCCCGATATTTACCGGTATCACTGTGTGAAAGGAGCTTTTGACAATTCTCTGGCTGTGTGTTTGCAATCAGTCAGGATCAGGAACCGGTGTGAGTATGTGTGGTGCATGACTGGAACTTGTAGTCCATATAATGGCGGTTTTGTAGTTCTATGCAATCCATGTGTTTACCAACGATCTGTATGGATTAGATTGCTGGTGATTGTGACATGGATGCAAATTGTCCACATTTTTTTTTTTTTTAATTAAGACTTGACAGTAGTTGCAATGCGAAAATATTACTTTTTTTTTTCTTTTTTTCTTAAAATACTGAAGAAAAAAACACAATGAATTATGTACTCTAACACAACTCTATAACTATAGAACAAGGATATGTGTGATTGAGCATTTTATTTTCATGGGAAAACTTAAAATAAGTTATTACTGCTAAAAAAAAGACTTACAAATACAAGGCAGTCTTAAAGTATGTCTTTGAATGCATTTTAGCTACATTTGCAAATAAATAATACACTATAAAACCATATAAGTTAAGGTAACCAATAAGTTAAGGTAACTCAAACCATTAGAAAACAGATTGTTATAAACCATTTGAGTGCAAAAACGAATCTACACATTATATGAGTACTGTGAACTTGCTACATTTAGGTTGAAGTAATGAGTTAATTAAGTGATTAAGTATTGCAAGGGCGTAGATTTGGCAAAAACAGAGGGGATGTGTCCCCACCAATATCCAGCAATTACTGAAATGTCCCCACCAATAATTTAATCACCTTAAAAATAAAATAATGCTCCGTCAACCTTTAGTAACCTATACATGCAGAAAGGGTTCAAACAAAACACATAAGGACAGAATGATTGTCTGGGCCTATTCATGCTGTTAATGACCACTGTAATTACATTTGAATGCGGGAAAGGCCAAAACAAGGAATTTTCCTAGTCCTCCACTGTACAAGATGTGGACATAAATAGCAATTTTTCAAAGAGTCAAGTTTTTAAAGTCAAGTTCAATTGGAGTCCAGCATGATGTAATAATATTAAACAAGAATGTCCAATAATTTGAAATTAAGTTTAGATTTTGACGATTTCCATGATTATGAAAAATAATAATCGGGTTAAAACGATTAAATTGAATCACATGTCTCTTTAAATCTCTCTACATTTATTCATTCATTCATTCATTTTCAAAGCCAGGTTGCAGTAACATCATGTAAATTGACTTTTTCAGCATGGAAAGTGTTTCATTAATTGTTATTCGTATGATTAAATGTTTAAATCCTTTTTTTGTGTTTTTAAAAGTATGGAAGTGAATTTGTGTTGTTCTATAAATGCGCTATGGATGTATATCCCCACCAATGTCAAAAGCAAATCAACACCCTTGAAGTGTTGATTAAGCATTATTGATGAACACCTGCTGTTAACAAGCAGAATTACTGAAGTGACAAACAAAACTATAACTGACTTCATTCACAGCCTTAAAAGAAAGAAAACACATTCAATCTTACAACATTTCAGCAGAGGATCTTTAAACAACTCTACAAACAGTATTAACAGCTTTATCTATTGCTAACTTGATATAATGACATCTTATTAGGAGGACATTTCCCATTGATTTGACAGTGCTGGCCCATTCTCAGTGTGAGATTGTCACATTTTGACTGATGTCTCCACTGTGCCAGTGGGTGACACTTTGTGAACGAGTATAGTGTGAATTTAATTCCATGAAAGTCAGGGAGCACATTGTCCATGAATTATTCATTTAGAGAAAATGTGTGATTCACATTTTTATGGCTGTAGTTTCTGATATTATAAACAAATATATTTTTATTTTTAGTTATTTTTTTGCTAATTTAAATTTTACTGATTGGGCAGGGAATACTGGTGTTAAGAAAACACAAAACAGAATGAGAAATAATGCATACTCACATTAGAGTACATTGCATTAGATGACAATGATTTATGGCTCTGACATATTCACATCAACATTCTTTAATAAGAAGTAAAAGAGATGTTGACACTAGGGTGGGGTATAGTTTGGGATTAATTCGATACCGGTGCTAAATGGATCATTTTAAAACGATACTGGTGCCAAAACAGTGCCTGAACCGATACTTCTGAGCCACAAAGTTATGGTGGATGACTCTAGAATAATCTTTTATTTGACAAAATCTTAAAAAAAAAAAAAAAAAAAAAAAAAAATATATATATATATATATATATATATATATATATATATATATATATATATATATATATATATATATATATATATATATATATATTATAAGAACAATATAATTTAGGTTTAACGTAAAAATCAATTCATATTTTATTTATTTGAATTACATTAATATATTTTCTTTGATCATTTGTTGGTTAGCATGAATTTAAGATTTGCATTATGAAATTATATTAGCTTACTACTAACCGGTGTAAAGGCTGTCATCAAAATACTGAAATCTTTTTCAGTTCAGGGGCCACTTTAGGGGGCACATTTTACCATGTATCACAAAATACTTAAAAAAAATATTCAAAGTCTTTTTTTTTTCATGCATTACTTTGCAGTCTTAATAAACAAAATAATTAAATAACTTAAACTCAAAATAATCTTCCTTTGATCCAGACTTTGTCTGAATACAACTGTCTTGCAAAATAACTATTAAAATGTTATGCACTGACTGTCAGCATAAAGAAGATAAAAAGTAGATATTAATGAGTTAGTTAAACTATTATGTTTCAAAATGTGTTGTAAACAAATGTGTTAAAGACAGAAATCAAAAATAAATGAAGGCAAAACTAAACGAGTTGAATATGACTTAACTGAATATCCTTGAGCCCGTGGCTCCCTCCCGTTTGAAGGGCGAGAGCAGTGTTTGAGCCTAATAACTGCCTCCTTTCATTTTTGTTATAAAAAATATGAAACATTAGGCTCACTGTGTGGTTTTGGCAATATGTGCTTTATGTAAGGCTATATGCACACAATAAAGATTATCAGAGGAAATGCATGGGGAAATATGAAATAGCCAACTTATTTGCTGAATATAATAATTAGTTAGCTATTATTTTAATAATCTGTAATATTTATAAAATTCTAACGTACAATAAATTTATACAACATAGGAAATATAGGCAAGCAATTGGCCAAACATATAAAATCAGTGTATGTGCTACATAAAGTAATAGATACATTACATAAATTAATAGGTATACATCTTTGCACTCATCCAAAACACAACACCTGAGAACAAGTAGGCTAATAGAATTGAAAGACTGATTAGTTAGATATAGCTCTAATACACAGGAAGAATTATACATCATGTTTAACAGCTCCAGAGAGATGAGATCCAGCAGCAGATTCGGATGGACTGGACGACTTTCAGCTTCTCGTAACGGGGCAGGTGTGCTCAGAGCTCCTGCTGACTGCCTGGAGCTCAGATGCAAGAATACACTGAAACAGCTTTCAGCGCATACCAAAGTACATGTATGGCCATGTGATGTGCTTTTTTAGCAGTGTAGTGTGGACAGAGAGCTTTTCAAAAATGCTAGACTGTGGATTCTAAAACGATTCTATAGTTTTCCATTTTAAAACTATAATGTATTAGTATAAACGAGGCATACTGTAAATCTGTGTTGGTGAGCATTTCTCACTTGCCAATATAAACCATCCATCTCATAGGGACAAATCAAAATACCGATTAGTCAGCATGATTCTTGCACAGGTGTGCCTTAGGCTGGATGCAAACTAAAAAAAAAAAAAAAAAAATATATATATATATATATATATATATATATATATATATATATATATATATATATATATATATATATATATATATATATATATATTTACTTGATAATAAATGTATCAAATCAGTATAAAAAAAAAACTACATTTAAAGTATAAGCATTTGTTTATAGAATTCTTAGAGTTCTCAATAGTGTGAGTACAGTAAATGTCACTCTGCCACAACAAGAGTCTTCACACAAAAACAAACCTACAAGGCACCCAGAGAGCAGCTAGGAGTGTGCCTTGCTCATTTAACCCACCTTAGCCATGCTATTGAGGTGTTTTTTTTTTTTTTTCTCTCCACCTACAATTCCTGCCTGTACCGGGACTTTTGAATCCAAATGTCCAAGTCGAAATGTCTAACCATTAGGTTAGAGGCATACTTTTAACTGTAGGATACTTTTAAAAAAACAACTTTGAAAAAGAGGAAAAACAATAAATTTCATTAATAACTGTAGGTTAAATGTTACTTATTTTGGAAATGTATACTCTTAAAAATGTGCAGACTCCTTCAGTCCAGAACTCCATCCCTTACACCAGGGGTGACCAACTCTGTTTCTGGAGATTTACCTTCCTGCAGATTTCAGTTGCAACCCTCACCTAACACACCTGCCTGTAATTATCAAGTGCTCTTCAGATTCTAATTGATTGGTTGAGGTGCATTTGATGAAGGTTGGAGCTGAACTCTGTAGGAAGGTAGATCTCCTAGAACAGGGTTGAGTATCTCTGCCTTACACAATTCCATGCAGCTCGGAAAAATACAATATGCCAATATTTATGTGTTTAATTCCTAGGAAGCACAAGATAAATATACAGTTGTGCATCCCATTGTGCTATCTATTAAAGCATCTGCCAAATGCATAAATAATTGTTCACATTTTAGTAATTATCAATAACACATGGCAACTGTTTATTTTAATAAATAACTGCTGCAAGAATTTCACCATGCATTTTCACAGGGAGAGCCAATCACTGGTCAGCCCTCATTGGAGCTTCTCATTCGAAGAACTATATATTGTGGGAGTATGGAGGCTATGCTAGTGAAGGGGTGAAGCAGGTTGCTGAACTGGGCTCACCTGTCAAGATGGAAGAAGAGATCCGTCAGAAGGTAAGGGTGCAGAGATTTTGAATACTCAAAGCTGGTAATGCATTAAGTCACCAAATGCTTTCATCAGTTATGATGTGTCTGCTATTCAGCTGTGGTTGTTTAAGGTGTATTCAGTATTGTTGCTGGAATCATTTCATAGCTAGGATATGCAGGGCACTGATTGTTGAAGGGATGGAGATTGTTGCTGTTGGCCCTGGCTGTGGCTGACATCATAGTGGTCTCTTGTATCATCTCTAGCTTTCTCCTTCAAAGTGCTGGCTATGTTCATGAAAGTATATGATTACATTTGATTTTAAGGTGAATTAGTTACAGTGCAACTATTATATTTAATTAATGGGTAATATTAATACTTAGTTACCTTATTTTAGTTGGGCTTAGCATGTGAGTTAAGTTTAGGGCTAGTTATATTATGTGATCAAGCATAATTCATTGTAATTACTATAGTAAGTGTGTGGAACTTATAGAAACATTATCTTAAATTAAATAGTGACCAGAGATATTTGGCTAAGTGTGTTTTTTACGCGTGTATCTTGTGTGTACCTTTATTCAGTGTATTCATTCAAAACTCCTGATTCATTTAAAGCAAAGCACACTGCAAATTGAAAGGATCATTGATGGTTCAAATGATTTATTATTTAAATATGTATTATTGTTCAAAGATTTTCTGAATTGTATTATTTTGTTTTTTATTGTTTTCTCAAATAATATCACTACAACTCATCGTGAACTGTTGGTTAATTCTAACTGAATCTTTCATCACTGGTTTTTGTCAATGCTTTTGCACTGTCTAGATTTTATTATATGTTTTTTGTCTTCTCATGCCTAAAATGGCAGTTTGAATTCCATTTAGAGCAGGATGAGTAGAACTGGAGGAGCACATTTGTCTCATGATCCGCAAGGGAGTCATTTTTGCAGGGATGAGTGTTACATAGACAGACTAGCGACTAATGTTAGATAATCTGCTTTTTAGCAATCTTTTGAACGCCATTCTTTCTTAGTCTGAAACTTTGGTACAGACAAGATCTAGACAAAAAGTTTTTACATAATTTATTAATGAGAAAGCACATTTTTTTCAGATGCAAATTATGAACTATTTCACAAGCAGGTGAAGACGATTCAAAATTCATAAAGATGAACATAATTACAAAACATTTGCACACACTTTTTTATAAGTACACTGTGCCCCATCATTGAAAAAAAAAAAAAATAATAATAAATATATATATATATATATATATATATATATATATATATATATATATATATATATATATATATATATATATATATATATACTAGAAATTGTGCTTGTTGTATGTGAAGTGTATTTCTGTTCATGCATTTGTCATATATTCTATGCTATTGAAACAGCAATATCATCTGTGTTTTAGTGTTATGTAGTATATCTGAATTATTATGGGATTTTAAAGCCTTGCAGATTTCTGAAATTCAAGATACACTACCTGACAAAAGTGTTTTCGTTGATCCCAGTTGTAAGAGTAACAAATAATAACTTGACTTGTAGATGATCATTTGGAAAAGTGGCTGAAGGCAGATTTTTTCAGATGATTCATCTATTGAACTGCATCCCAATCATCACAAATACTGAAGAAGACTTATTGGAACTCACATGGACCCAAGATTTTCACATAAATTGGTCAAGTTTGGTGAAGGAAAATCATGGTTTGGGGTTAAATTCAATATGGGGTATGCAAGAGACCTGCAGAGTGAATGGCAACATCTACAGCATGAGGTAGCTAGACATTTGTGCTGCCCATTGCAGTACAAACCACAGGAGATGGCAAACTCTTCAGCAGAATAGTGCTGCTTTTAACACTTTAGCCTCGACATCAAAGTTCCTGAAAGTAAAGAAGGTTAAGGTGCTCCAGGATTGGCCAGCCCAATCACCAGACATGAACATTATTGAGCATGTCTGGGGTAAGACAAAGTAGAAGGCATTGAAGATTAATCAAAAGAGTCTTGATTAACCCAGGGAGTCTTGCAAGAACAATTTCTTTACCATTTCAGATGACTTTGGTGAATTTCTCACAACACTATGTACATTCGCACAACAGTTAGTGCATTTCTCAAAACAACTAGTACAAACTGCAAAACCTAGTTGATTGCAAAAGTGTGTCACTTTGTCAAAATGGATAGCTCATTCCTCAAAATCAAGTATTGATGTCAATGAAAGTGTCCGTGTCATCAATATGAAAAGTCCTGACACCATTGTTTATGAACAAGATAGTCATATGTCTTTGTCATGTTTTTTATTATGACAGTTTACTCTGTACATTTTTTTCCAATGCAAATAAGTCAGATCTTGGTGACACTTCCTGAAAAAGCTCAAGACAGCACTACTGTATATATTATTTGGACAGCCATTTGAAACTACAGTGTTGAATACAAGACACTGAATATGTATGATTTTTTTTGTCTGGTAGAGTATGTAGCTATTTGAATCTAGGCCTAGCAAAACAATTTCAATATGATCCATGCATTCTTAGACAAACTGCAGCAGCAAACACATAATGCTTTATTAATAAGTCACGGTGGGCATTATCCTTTGTGTCATTGAAGAACTTTAATAAGAATTATAATAGGAATTAGAGTATGTGCCTAGGAAAATGTGATGACAAAATATAGCCAAAATAGATCAGGTAGATCATTACATTAGCTCCTCACTGGAGCATCATAATTACCTGCTGTTGAGGTCGTTTTGTGAGGAATAACGAGAAAGGACCTTTGCGATTGACAAGCTCAATGCCTATTCTCTAAGTTCAGCAGAGCGTGCAGATGTTCTTGGAGATCTGTGAAAGGCTCAGATGTTTGCTTCCCGGTACGCACAATGCATTTCCATTTGCAAGATCAGCTGAGAATTGACACGGAAAGGATAGAAGATAAGAGGATGAGGGAGATGATTAAACTTAGTTCTGTTTCAATAATCATGACTCTCACACTTCCGTTTGTCACCATCTCTTTTATACAAGTGAAGATACAACAGAACAGTAGTTTAATAGTGATTTGTAGTGAAGGTTATACCGTAATCTGCATTGTTAGTGAGAGACATGATGCACACTTAGTTTATTTATACTAGCTGTCTATTTGTGTCATTTATTTGCTTTTATTTTAATATATGTTACAACATTTTATTTTAAAGTGTCCATTACATATTTTTCCTATACCTACTTCCCAGTTGGAACTCCAACATCAGACTAACTTAAAATTTTAGTTGTATATAAAAATTGGGTTGATATCAGAACCAAACGTCAGATTGAGGTCAGACTCCAACGTCAAGATAAAACATAAAATCAACCGATGATTAATGGCTAAAAGTCTAATGATGTTAGACTTTGACATTATATGGATTTCACATTATAACATTTGCAACATAGACTCATTCTAAAAAGGTAGCTATATATACATTTCTGGAAATTGCAAAATCTGTAGCCAGAAGCTTGCTGCATTTTATTTGAAAAATGAATGGTAAGGCGCGTTATGAGAGAGGATGCTCGCTGCAGAGCCATTTGAGGAGAGCTGAGCTCCAGCGAGGGGGAGCATAAGCTGTAGCTCCTCCTCCTGTAAGCTGTTTTAATGCGTACACCAACCCCACCCCTAACCCTACCCCCAGTGACATCACTCGTAGAAGAAGTGCAAAAAAGGTGGAGCTCAAGCTTAAGCTCCCCCTCGCTGGAGCTCAGCTCTCCTCAAATGGCTCTGCAGCGAGCACCACTTGCGTTATGATGCTGTTGCTTTTCATGCTTACAACAACTTACTGTACCTCCGTATAGACGGCATTCCCGCTGTTACCAGTTTGTCCTATTATCTCGTCATGTACGTCAGCAGATTTGAGATTAAATCACATGCAATCTCAAAAAGTGTACACAGCGGCCTCTGGTTGATTCACAAAAACTGCAAAAAAAAATGTAGCTCCTGGGATGTATTTGGCAGTCTCCAGAAATCTATATAGAGGTACATTTTCAGAACGAGCCTGGATTGAACATTAAAGTGATGTTAAATTTTAGATAGGTAATTACACAACATAAAACCAACCAAATAAAAAAATATTGACGGTAGACTGATGTTGTATGGATGTCATATCATGGCGTTAGAACGATATTAGATTTTAGTTAGTTAATGGCACAGCCTAAAACAAACCAAATATCAACACCAGCTGACGTCAGTATTAGACAACAAATTTAAGCAAAGTTTTGGTTACCTGGTGTTGCAACCCAAATAGAAAATAAAGATCAAGGTCATATGACATTGTGTGCCTGCTGAGTTATCACAGTTATGCATAATTGCATGCAGAACCTTTATATATAACCTTTATTCTAACTATAGAGTAAGTACTTGAAAATAACTAATATTACTTAATAGTTAAACCTAATAGTTACACTTTAACAAGGACACTCAAATACACACACGCACACACACACACACACACACACACACACACACACACACACACACACACACACACGTTTGGTTTTCAAGCTAATGATCTCTAAAACCATATTATGTTTAGCATGTTTTTGTGCGTTTTGCATCATGCAGTTTTAAATACATGACTTAACTTTCACTTGACATGGACTTGGAGGTAAAGGGCCAACACAGGTATATATATATATATATATATATATATATATATATATATATATATATATATTTATTTATGGAGATCACAAATTATGTAGCCAGAGCTACATATGGCTGCATTTTGTTTTTGAAATGAACACTACTTACCAGCTGGCCGCTTACCTCCGTATGCATGGCTTTCCTGCTGTTATCAGTTTGTCCATTTTACCTGCCATTTACTTCGCTGGACTTGTGAGGCAGAGAATAGTTGGCCATTCCTTTTTGTGCTTACTGCATGTGGAGTGCTTTTCAGCTGTTACCAGTTTGTCCAGTTCCTTGATGTGTATGTCAGCCGACTTGCAATGCAAAGTTGACCACAATGACAGGGTTTGAGTCTGGTGAAAGATGGTTCCAGAAAGCAG